TAATAATACTATTAAATAAAATTGAACAATATCTTCTTAATGTAAATAATATTAAATCTCAAATTTTTATTTCCTAAATTAAGGTCTGAAATGATCCTTTCACTTCTAAATTTTTTCTAATGTCTGTAATATTAATTCCTCTTAATGCAAACTTCATACTTAAATAATAGGTCTAAGATTGTTGATATGCAAAATCTACAACCATAAAGAAAACAAATAATTATTGGGACTCTAACCATTACTCTAAAATTAACAATGAATAAATAATATCAAACAAAGTTTTCTGTACTTTTAAAAACAATAAGTATCCTCTGATAACTCTAGCTTTCTCTTTGATACCACAGTAGTTCAAAAGACCACTCTTCATGGGTATATTATAAACATGAGGCTCTCCTGCTCAAGTCCTCTCAGGACGTGGCAATGACCTTCTACAGCACTGGGCAAACAGGAGTGACAAGAAGCACTGAGCTACAGATGCAGTCTCTGGATAACTTTATAGATTTCCGTCCTTCTTCTAGTAGTCGTTAATATTCACAAAATAAATATTGTAAAGGTACAAGGAACACATTTTGATTTGCCCTATACCCTAAAAACTATTCAAATACTGTAAAAAGGATCTCCTCATTGCCATAAACCATGCTGATAAGATTAGCATGGAAGTCATTTCCTTGACTTGTTTTTCCCCAAGAAAATGCTTTTTAAACACAATGTAATACCATAAAGACCAAAAAATCAACAAACTGTTAACTGTGCATTTCTGATTGCCTTTAGTCTTAACAGAAGGTCTTTTAACAGCAGAATTACGTTAGCTGTTACAATTAGCTAAATAATTGAAAGAAGACATAAATCAAGAAATCTGTTTTCAAGTAAAGGAAAAGAAAGTCATATAAAAAAAAATCTATGATAATATGCACGTCTGATGAAAACAGAATAAAAACAATATCCAGAAATTCTTAAGAATGCCTATGATGACGTGTCTTGGAATAATATTAGAAAGACATTTATAACTAGTCAGATCTAGTTGTGCATATTTCCTAAGCTCCACAGTTAAAAGCTGATGTTAACATTATAAGAATCTTGACATATTGAAATATTGAGTCTTTCCAGTAAAAATTGTGAAATACAACCCAGAGATAGAATGTATTATTTTTAAGATGGAAAACCTTAATGTATTTCTAAACAAATCATGTAGAATGTTTAAGTATAAAGAAACACGAAAATGTTAAAGGTCTTTTAAAGAACAGAGAAAATGTTCCCTCTAAGGCAGCAGTATTTTACATGTATATAGACTGATGAGAATGGGGTTGTATTATTTATTTTGCATATGATTCTGCAGAAGTTTTTCAGCCCCCAAATAGAATACTAAATATAGTTTTAAACCCCCAACTCATCACATAAAAGAAATGCAATCTTTAACATTTGTGCTTTAAAAAACTTTAAGAATTCAAAAAATATTCAACCCCCAAAAACTGGAAGGCAGGATTTTTAAACTAACAGGCACATCACAGTTCTAGGAAACAGAAGGGTGCTCCTAGTCCTTTGGATCCCAATTATCCATGGCAAAAAATATTTATACACGCACACACACACATATACATATGTATGTATATGAATACATAAGAATCTAAAAAAGGATCTGAACATTTTAGGAGTTAACCACATTAAATGTAAATCAAAGGGTATTCAACAGCACTACTGGCCACTTTGCATACTCCTCTGAAATATGAGCTATCAATACTCCTTTTTCTAAGAGAATAATCAAAAAATTTCCAATCTCTTGAAGTTACTTTTTTAATTTTTTTATTTTTGGCAGCTGGCCGGTACAGAGTTTGAAGTTACATCTGAAGTTACATGAAATACTTGTAAACTGTCATCTAAGAAATATCTTATAGAAAGAAAGATACAACAATCACAATAATTCCTTGAACTCTCAAAAGGAGGCAACAGAACTGAGGCCACCAGAGGTGGGAAAAGGGGGAGAGGAAGGAGGGGTTAGGAAGAAATTGGTCCCACAAAAAGTGTTTACACTGTATAATGATAAAATAAAAATAAATACATTTTAAGTAAACTTTAAAAATAAATATAATATTTGTACATTAAAAAAAAGGGAAATATCTTGTATTTCCCACCCATCAAATTAGTTCTGGGTTCACCACAACTGCCATCTCATTTCGGCTAAGGCAACTATACTATATTTCAATGAGTAACAAAATCATAAAATTTTTAAGTTAATCACTAGAAATAAATATTAACATCCCAAAGAGATGATTGAATTCATTTTTAAAATCAGCCACAGAATGAGAGTTTCACAGTAAACACAGACAAAAGTTTCTTTTACTTTTCTGCACTCAAACATGTTTAGACCCAGGGTTTTCTACTAAAGGGGTGAATTTGTAAACAACACAGTTCTAGTTTAACTGATATGATGTTTTCATACTATGTTCTAAAACCATAGTTAAGCCCATTTTTTCCCCAATGAAACAGCTTTGCTTAATGTAGAAACTGGTAAACAATCCCAGCTACAATTCAGAATTTCTGAATAAAGATTTGGCAACTCTAAAACCAAGCACCTTATCAGAGAGTACTATTGTTCCTTACTGGCATTCAATATAGCAGCTGTATACTGGCCTAAAATCAACACTGTTTTCCATTTATCTAGAGAAAAATAAAAAAACAAAAACGTAATCCCTCCCTCCCTAAAAAAGCCCAGATTCTCTTTAGATAACCACTGAAACTGTATAAGTTGCTTTGCATATTTATTGCTTTACTTGGAATTTTAACTTCTAGACATTAGAGAGAGAAGTTTTATTTTATCATCAAAGCTCTAGAAAAACAGATTAGGTTTAGTTCCCCACTCTATACAAGCTGAACCCTGAGGGTTCACTAACTAAGACTCTGGATACATTTCCCTCATCTGGCTGCCCACCCCCCGACACACCCCTTGCCTCTCTGGCTGGGAGAGGCTGTGGGCAACATGAAGCAGTTTCCACCCACTGTTAACCTCTGTAGGTGCTCTGTGAAGCCGATAACATCCCTTTCTCATAATTGCTCATATTTACTCTGCCCATCTCACCAAGTGTCAGATAAGTTTTTTTTTTTTTCGGAGAGGAGTTGATGTTAAATTAAGTTAAAGTGTTTGGAAGATTCATACAATCTTAACTTACAGAAAAAAAGTTTAAAAAAAATAAGTAAATTGTTCACTCGCATCAAGTGAACACATTTTATCAGGACACTTGGAAGTAAAAGCAGCTATATATCAATAACATCTAGTTTCTGAAAAAGAAAAAAAATAGTAGATTTTCATTAATCAGAGGTTTTTTCCCCCCTTATCAAATTATTCTCATTTCAAGGATTTAAGTTGTAATATCAGTTTCTCAAGGAAGAACTCTTAATTTTAATTACTGAGTGTGAATGGCAGCCCCAAAGATGTATCCATGTCCTAATCCTTAAAATCTATAAATATCACCTTATATGAAAGAAGAGGTGATTAAGTTAAAGACCTTGAGAGGAGAGCTTATTTTAGATTATATAGGCAGGTCCTAAATGCAATCATATGTATACTTATAAGAGAGAGGCAGAGGAAGTTTAGAAAGACAGACACACTTGAAGGAGAAAGCAATGTCAGCATGTAACAGAGATGTAACCACAAGCCAAGGAATGCCAGCAGCTACCAGAAGCTGGAAGAGGCAAGGATAGTTCCTCCCTTAGAGCCTCTGGAGGGAGCAGGGCCTTGCATACATCTTGATTTCTGAGGTGTGGCCTCCAGAACTGAACTGTGAGAAAATAAATCTCTGTTGTTTGAAGCCACCAAGGTTGTAGTAATTTGTTACAGCAACAAAAGAAAACTAAAACACTGACGAAAAGAGTGTATACTAATATAATTAATTAATATAATTTATTAGTGTAATTAGTTTATGGTAATTGCTATTTAAAGAGTAATACTTAGGGGCCAGCCCGGTGGTGCACTGCTACAGTGCACTGCTTGGGAGTGCGGAGGCGCTCCCGCCGAGGGTTCGGATCCCATGTACAGACCGGCCGCTCACTGGCTGAGCGAGGTGCGGGCGCAACACCGAAGGGTTGCGATCCCTTGCCGGTCACGAAAAAAGACAAAAAGGAAAAAAAAAAAGAGTAATACTTAAAGCATACACACTTCAAAGTAAAAGGGCAACCCTAAATTACAAATAAAATATATCGAGACACAAGGTACAATGATATTAATAAGCCTGATTCTTACAATTGAAACTTTGAAGCAAATAACTCTATAAGATTTTACGTGGAACACAAACACAGTATCACTGAGTTATCATACAAGGCAACCTTATAAGCAGAAGTTTTACCTCATCTCTAAATAAAGTGTAGCAGGCAAGAGACAGAAAAATACATTAAGTTTAGTCTTTCAAATCAGACTAAAAAGTCAAGTGACAGAAGTCAAAAACTGCTGCAAAATACCCATAGGTAGATGTGGCTTCTGAAACTATACATCACTAAGTATAAAGGACCCAACGACATGATCCAGTTGACTGGAGAGAATCACCCAGAAACTGACAAAAGGAAGAGAATGGTGTGTGGGGAATCATAACTTATATAGGCCACAACACTTGCAAAAGGTCATTTGAAGAAAAAAGAAAACAATACATCTTTACAATCTGGCAACCACTTGGTCATTCTGAGACATAAATAAGAAAAGAAAAATAAATACAGTATTGCAACCTCTCTAAGCCTCAATATTCTTACCTTTAAAATTGGAATACCAGTGCTACCTCACAGTGTTAGCAGAGTCCCCCTCACAGCGGTACTGGAGGATGAAATGAGATATATATGATTTGGGTCATAGCTTCTCTTCATAAACTGTGTGACTGGAAGCTAACTATATTTGCTTTCTGGATGAAAAATTTCAGGGAAGAGTTACTAGATTAAAAAAACAAATAAAAAACCCAAAAGACAAAACAAGAAAAAGCTTCTTCCCCATTCTGCTGGTATTTGGGGGTCCCAGCACTTACCACATCACTAGCACTAGAGAACTCATTATTAACCAGACTTTCAAGAGCCATCCACCGAACTGGCCTGTTTTCGTTGTCCCCCAGACAGTGATAATCCATGGGGAACAAGTCTCTGGAGAGGGCATTGTCTGTGATCTTAACTTGAAGGGTGTCATCAATGCTGAAAAGTGAAGACATGAACATCAAATGCAACCAGGGTATTACAAAGTAGGGATCACTGTCACCCTTAAATATGACACAGGCCCCACTGTGACTCCTGGAAAGAACCCCAAATCCAGGGAGCACTACACATCAAATGACAGTGACAAGCTCATGGCACCTACACACAGTTCCTAGCAGCCAGGTCTTTGTGGATGACTTCCCTTCTGGCCAGGTAGCTCATTCCACAGGCAATCTGAATAGCCATGTGTACCAGGTCTTGTTGAGAAATTGCCTATGGCAACAGAAAATGACAAGGTTTGCACATAGCATAAAAATTATGATGGTGTGTGCTTATTTTATTCCACAATAAAAATACTCCATCCAATAATACTTATTTACACCTACATGTTGAATTCTAAAAAGCTATTTCTTGACCAAGAGTATGTACTCGTAGCTCTGTATACTTACAACAGCTATAGTCCTTATTATTCTGTAATGTAATTTGCCATTTACTTGACTGTCTCGTCTGTTAGATGCAGCTCTCCAACATCCAGCACATACAGTAGCTGCCCAATAAATATCTGTTCAATGAATGCTGAATTCTCAAGGTAATATTTCAAGTGCTTATTATTCAATAACCTGCTCTTTTCTTTTTAAAAAAGTAGTTTTTATTAGGAGATTATGCCCTTGGGACCATTCTCAAACTCATACAAGTATACAGCTCTCTCTACTGATGTGCTCCTCTAGACGCATGCTAGTGTGAAATTCGTCCTCAGGTGATGCTGATGGGCCACAGCCTCCAACCACTTTCAGGGTTAACCCTGAAACCCTGTCAATTTTACCTGTCATCTTTAACCCTGTCAATTTACAAAGCATATCAAACATATAAAGCCAAATACTCAATGCAGCCTTTGAATCCATTTCCCCTAGCAACTATAGTAAGTACATTATTATAAATCCTAAAACCAACCTAATGGGGCTATAACATACATCAGACAGCAAAACACCCACTAGCCTTTACTACTACTACTATCGTTACGTGTTTGGAATCTAACCAATTCCTTCACAGTTATGTACACAGCAGTAAAGAGAAAGAAACACTTAGATGACTGGTCTCTTACAACCAAGCATATTAAGACTATATCCAATTATCTCCCACAATCTAGGCCTCCAATCTTTACCAGCTTTTGGTATAATACGGACCAAATAGCTCTGTAAAGTCTGTTTTCAATCCTGGAAGAGAGATCTAGGACAAGCGCCTTCAAAGAGTCATCAGGAAAATGGCTGAGATGCTGTTCGAGAGGATTTGAGGTGTTTATGAATATACACATAATGCAAATATAAGGAAAAAACTTAATCATCAGTAAAGTGTAAGCCTTAAAACAGGAATTGCAAAGCATCTTCATTTCCCTCTAAATCAACAGATTAAAAATATCTTCTGGTTCATTTTGAGTTTCTTTTTGCAGCTTTTAAATGGTTTATAAGAATGTTAATATCTACTATCAAAAATATTATCAGAAACTACGGTAAATAATTGGCATTTGGGAAAATTTTTCTCACCTGTGGATTATTGGCCTCTACTAATTTGCACTGCCGTAAAAACAATTTAAGATTCCCCCAATTCATGTAAGGCAATATCACCATGGGCTTTTCTCCTTCTTCTATACACACATGAATAATAGGAAGAAGATTTCTATAAAATAATAAGAAATTGAAAGAAATACAAATTAAACCAAAAACCTCAGGGGCTTATTTTTAATAAAAAGTAACAAAATAAAGACAACCTAAACAAAACTAAATCTCAAACATACTTAAAAAAACATGATTACTATTAAAAATACAAAATTATAAATGCTTTATATTTTAAACCAGACTTAAACGTTTCCCATATATGCACTTTCTCAATAGGGAAAAGTTATAAACTCAAAGTTGTTTCCTGTGGTCTGGGTTCTCTGAAGACATATGTACTCTAGCTACACTAGATCTTTACTCTGAAAGACAATCAGACACCTAAAAAATGACTTGACCATGACTGTACTGTGATAATATCCCATCTATTCCAATATAACACTTCAAAAAAAAAAAAAAGGACCAATCCAGACTGAACAAGAATTTGACAATCAAAAAACTCTCTAACAGGCTGAAATTGCCACAAAAGCCAAGAAGTCCTTAGCTGGTCACATGGGATTTAGAACCAGATTTTTGAATCCTAGATTTACCATTTACTATCTGTGTAGCCACCTCTCTGTTGGCCTTAAGTTTCCATACTTACAACATGGGAATACCACCAACCATAAAAGGTTGCTATGATGTGCAAAATAAAGCCAAGCATGTAGTAGACAATCTTGTTTCTATTTTAATTTCTATGGCATACATACACACAAGGGGTCTTCAAAAAGTTCATGGAGTCATATTATCTCTTAATTCTATTTTTTCCATGAACTTTTTGAAGTACCTTTGTACATTTCATCCTACTGTCTAATGACACCTCTTGCATTGATATCTGGAAATAACTGCTAATTTTTCCTTAAGGTTATATAACTTTTAGATAATTACCTCATCTTCCCCACTAAGCTGAAAATTCCTAGAAAGCAAAAACTATCACAGACTCTTAGTTTTTACACCCAGTGCTTTGCATTCGATGCCATATAAAAGAAACACTTAATAAGCATTTGATAAACACACAAATAACAATAGATTTAAACATTCCTATTCCTTGACTTAGCAAATTCTGCTCCTAAGAATGTTTAACAAGGAAATAGTATCGAACATAAAAAAGCTACGTGAACAAGGATAGTTAATGTGACATTAATAGTAAAAAGTTACAAATAACTTGAATGTCCAAAAGTAATTAAAGAGTAATAGGATAACATGTAACAATTAAATGATCACAAAGAGATGTTATGAGAATATGAATAAAAACTTATTTTACAGGAAAGCAAGATACAAAATTCACATTTGCAGGATAATTACAAATTTGAAGATAAAAATAATAAATCTGCATAGAAATATGCCAAGAGTTAAGAGTTGTCTTTGCATTGTGGGACTATAGATAATTTCTACCTCCCTTTTCTGTATTAAAATTGTCGCAACTGAGCATGTATTATTTTTAAAAGCACAGCTAGGGCCGGCCCGGTGGCGCACTGCTATAGTGCGCCGCTTGGGAAGCGCGGCGGCGCTCCCGCTGAGGGTTCGGATCCCACATACAGACCGGTTCCCGCTCACTGGCTGAGCGAGGCGCGGGGGCAACACCGAGGGCTGCGATCCCGTTGCCGGTCCCGGTCCGGTACGGGGGCGACACTGAGGGTTGCGATCCGTTGCCGGACACGGAAAAAGACAAAAAGGAAAAAAAAAAAAA